AGGTAGAAAAAAGTAAAGTGAGATTATAAATCTAGCCTCTAGCAGAGGCCACATTTCCAACCACCAACGATGCACTTCCCTCCCATACCATGTCTTCTCTCCTCAGTTCTTTTCACCTTCTCTCTCATCCCCTGACACCAAAATTGAAAGTGGATAAGAAAGTAATGGAATTAACCAAGGAGATAGTAACAGACCACAATCCTAGTCTAAATGCTCTTGCCCCAAGTATGGAGGATCACAAGGCTGTTGTTGAGAGGGTGGAGACGAAGAGCCTATAGTTAGTGGGACTATAGGAGAATTAGCCAGTTTTTGTGTGTGTGTGCAATGGTAGTGGTTTGGTTTGGGTTTCCTAAGAAGTAAAGATATGTAGTTTCTTAGGGTTGTGAAAGACATTCTTCAAAAGTGGGAATTATATATAGACGTTGTCAAGGGATTGGAATGCTGTTCTACAAGGTGACATAGACATTTGATGTGAGAGAAACAGCGAGATGAGATGACATTCTGGTTGCCAAGTGTGTGCACTATAAACTGAAAACACCCTCATCCTGATCCATAGCTCCTCATTTCTTTAAGGAACCCATATATGTGTTGCGAAACTTGTTAGTACAAGAAAATAACAAAACCAACCTTCTTATCCAGGAAAAATTAAAATTCCATTTTGCAGTCATCAAGACCATTTGCCTTATTTTCCCTTGCTATTTCACAACACAAAGCATTTTGCCATCTCTTTCTAATGTCCCCAGTTACTATTAATTCAATAGCAGAGGATGAGATAACGGGGATAGGACACATAGAATTGATCATTTTGAAAGATTTTTTTAGAATCAATGAAAAGACTTTTTGGACAGTTATCTAGTAAATGATACTGGTTGATTTATAACTTCTTTCTAAAATATAATGGCTCTCATTCACTTTAATGTCCCTACTGATATATTTTATTTATACGCAAGTTCAGTAAGTATGGGTGAAATGAATGATAACGGTGTTACACAAAGCTTAACATGGTGTATGGATTCTAGAAAGCAACTGCAACTCACAGTCAGAGCTGCAAAGGAAATAAAAGACAAGGGGGAGGCAAGGTCCACGGGGACAGAACAGGGGAGCAATATGGAAACCGTGCTCCACAGGCAGGTTATCTGAATGGCATGGGTCTCAGTCCTGTGCCTGAGTATGGACTTCACAGGGTCATAATGAGTTTTAGATATGTACATGTTTCTGACGATATCTTATAAACTGCAAAGTGCTGTTCCATGGTGAAGATCCATTATGGTTTTTGCTTTTGCAGTTTAGAGCAAGATGTGACATAGAATTTCTGTATATAATGCAGGGACAAAATGATAAGCGCCAACATGTGATCCAGTGTAGAGTTAAGGAGACCTGTACTCAGTGCTAAGGGACAGGGAATGGGAAGGATGGGGAAGCTGCGTGTGAGGTTGAAGAGTGACTTCAGGAACAGGACTAGGTGAGGTACAGTCAGCTCATGGACTTCAGTGGAAGTGAAAAACAGGCTAGAGCTCATTTCTGAAGGGAAAGAAAGACAACTTTTAAAGAAGAGGGCTCTGGATCGTGGGTAGTGGAAAAATCTAGTCAATAGCCAGTTGCATTATGTGTATCATGCCCTGAACATTGATGAACAATAATAAGTTTCTTTTCAGTGACTTGGTAAATATTTCCAGTTCCTTTTACAATCTCCCCATTGCTTGCCAGGGGAATTTTGTTGTTGTTGTTGTTCTTGCTTACTGGAGACTTTAGGTGTGTACAAGAGAACTGGGATAGAGGCAGAGTGTGATTGAGAAGGAAATGAGAAGGAGAGAATGTTCTGGACCAGTTACAGAATGAAGCCATAAACCAAAAGAAGTAATATAAAGGAACCCTCAATTTGACTTTTTGTAACCTTTCCTAGCAGAAATGGAAAGATTTATAATTTTTATGGTGGTGGGGGATTTGGGGCAGGAAGGTCTAAGGGGACAGGCAAATAAGACAATTGTTGTAGCCACTATTAATGCTTTACCAGAGTTGACAAAGAATCTGCTAAGGCTTTCCCTTATTACAAATAAATCGATATCTATATATACACCTTTTGAATATTAATGATGTCTATTTGCACAACACATGGGAGACCTTCTTTGGGTTTCACAATAACCTGTAAGTTGTTATTTTCTTAAGTACATGTTTCACAGAAGGAAAAGTGCTCAGTAATGCAATAATTGACTCAAGACTATCCAGGTAATAAGAGGCAGGGCCAGATCTCACGCCCAAATGCTATGCACTTTCCAAATCCTGCCATGTTTTATTTGTGTCCTAATCTAAACTAGTTAGTTTAGATTCTGGCATCAGGACCTTTATTTCCATTGTGAATGACTGTTTCTCTTTCAGGGATCATTGTGATCCACAGTTGGTGTCCTGCCCTCAATAGGATCACTCTCTTCTTTCTCAGTATCTCATTGGTCTCTATCATTTCCTCTTTCCCTGCTTGAACTTCCTTGTACACAGCCTGCTCCCTTCCCCTCAGCTCACCAATAATGAAATGTAATGCTTTGAAATGACTCTTACTTTCTTTTCTAGGAAGACTACCAGGACTTGGGGAAGAAACTCAAGCTGGTCCCAAGCCTACTTGCTTGTGGTCATCAAACACAGAGATAAAAGTAGCAGAAAAACTGATTGCAAAAACCTGGGTCACTATTGTAGACTGGAAAAACTTTTTGTAGGTGAAAAGATCTTCAAATGTAATCGAAGAACAGACTTGGCATTTCGTTGCATAATAGCACCATCCAGTTGTCAAAAGAAAAACCCACCTGCTCTGAGGGAAATCCAAGAGACTTCAGGGGGCTGAATGCAAAGGCAGAACTGGATCCAGGTCTCACAAAACCACTCTGTATACAGTCACAGGACTTTCAAGCACTGTCTTACACAAGCAACCACTCCTAAGATTGAAATTTGTCAATGGAAATTGTTCTTGTGTTTATAACTGAAAAGCAAAACATTTCTACCTCTGTTAGCTTCCCTTTTGGGAAAAAAAAAAGCATTTGATGCTTAAGCTACATTTTATTGCCTTATTCTTCCTCTGCAAAATAAAAACACAAGAAGGAAAATTAGAGAACACTTAGAGACTTCATTTGTCTAATGTTACCAAATCTGTGTACCCAGCTACCAAGGGCACCTGGTATGAATGCCATAGTAGAGATGGGGTGGAATGAAGAAATACTATAAATTCTGGGTGGGAGTGCCATAAAGGCTTTAAGAAAGATGACATGTGAACTGAGCCTCAACAGAGAGGAGACAGAGCTTCCAGCAGTTTGGGTAGAGCGATTCAAGTTCAGAAAACAGGGTACACTTAGGGATGGTAAGGGTGGCAGGAAGATACTGTGTATAGCAGGGATTTAGTTATTTTCATGTCTCTCTTTTGAAATCTAAGATCACAGAGGACAGGGGCTAGGTTTTGCAGGTCCAAAACCAAATCCTTTCATAACTTCCTACAAGCTGCCTGCTTCACACATCAGATCTCAGGAAATTTAAAATCAGGACAAGGAATTTGGGAATTAATCTGAGATGGTGGTCAGGTCTTTGGAATTTTAGGGAAGGAATTATTGCATTCCCATTTTAGGAAAATTCACCTGGTACAATAGAGAGAAGGAATTGGAGTAGTACAAGAGTTGATGGGAGTTAACATTTAAGTTGGTTTCAGGGATCCAAGATCATTGTAATAACTTCTGTCTCCAGAAATTTTTAAGCACAAAATGGATTAGATACTCTCCATCTCAAAATCCTTTATGGCTTTTATAAATGAAGTCCAAAGTACCAAAACCAGCATTGAAGGTTCTTTATAATCTGAATCCATTCTACCTTTCTTGCTACCTTCCTTTGCATTCTCTGGCTTTAATCAATAAGGAGTTCTCAAATATGTCACCTGTCAGTGTCACTTTGTGCTTTCTAAGACTCCACTCTCACATAGGTGTTTTCTATGATTCCTATTATGGTGCTATTTTATTCTTCCCTGAAGCACAGTGAAGTTCTTTGAAGGCTAGGGTGTTGCCTTATTATGCACACTCCTCTACACTGTTAGCCTCAAATGATGGGCACTTGGCAAATATTCACTGAGCAGAATTGAACTGTAATAGCAATATTTGTACTGGGACTGTTTCATACTTTTGAGCCCCAGAAACCATAAAAGACTATCGATTAAACTGCATAAAAACATAGAACACTGTGTCAAAATTTTTAAAAAGCCACAAACAAAAAGAGGAACTGGGGAAACTATACAGAATACATATGACAAAGAGGAATTTCCTTAATACACAAGAAATTTCCCAAATCATTTATACCAACAATCTAAAAACAAATGGGCAAAGGAAATGAATACACCAGTTCCATTTTTCACTCATCAGACTGACAAGAGGAAAGAGTTTTAAAATACCAATGGAACTGAGGGTGTCAGGAAACTCACAGGCTTTATTTATGGCAGTACTTCTCTTTGGAGGTAAATGTCAATATCTACAGAGTTCAAACTGCAGAAAACTTTAACCTAGGAATTCCACTCTTAAGAGAATTATTTTACAGATAAAAATATACAGGGCAGAGACCCTGATAAAAAGCTGATTGTTGCAACCTTGTTCATAATAGCATACCCATTAGTAGGAGATTGGTTCAATAACGGTATTCTGTATAATGGAAACTTCAATCATTGACAGTAATGAAATAAATCTATAATCACTAATAGAAAAAATATCCCAAACTGCATCATCAAGAGAAAAAAGTAATTTATATATATCATGTACTATGATGTTCCTTGTTGCAAAGCAAATGCATACAGATATGCTTGTATATGCACGAAAGTCTTGAAAACTCTTGATATTGACTGCTGCTGGGGCAGACTCATTATGCATTACCTACCCTTTTGCATTGTTTGAACTGATACATTTTTTTAATTTTCAAATCCCCCATTTCCCAAACACAGACACATTTGTTGGCCATTCATTACACATTAGATGCAGACCAAGGTATAACCATGAATGATACTGTTTATTTCTCCCAAGAAGGCACAGATGAGTGATTCTTAAAAGGGTTGCTTTTACATACTACAGATGCAGATTCCCAGATATTAAGAATTTGTAATGAGATGCTTTCTAAAACAGTGAACATGAACGCAGTAAACAACTTCTACTTTTTTGACATATAAAAATTTCTCACAGCATTCTGACACTAATTTATCAAGCTTCACTTTCCTAAAAGCAAAATTTGAAGAAAAACAAGAGTGACAAATTTAACAGTGGTGGTAAAAGAAACCATTTAGATATTGCCTCTCAAAGGTGATACAATGAGATCTTGCACAATCAGGTTATAAAAAGAGCACACTGAAGTTACCAGCGTTGTGTAGAGAAGCAAGCTAAGAATCAGGGAATTACTGAAGAGAGATTTGAATTAAACAGTTTTTCCTGGGTGGAGCCATTACATATTAAATATGTTAAGAATTTGCCAATCAAAAATTCCAAAATTAGTTTGTCATCAAGATACTTCACAGAAAACATTCACAGAAACCAACCATCAAAGAACTATGCCATTATCACAAAGCTACAAGAGAGTGGGGTGCTGGCATAAAGGTAGAAATACATAGATCAATAGAATAGAAAGTTCAGGAAAAAAATCTCACAAATGTATAATCAATTGATTCGCACCAGGCATGGTGGCACACACCTGTAAACCCAGCAGCTCAGGAGGTTAAGGCAGGAGGATCATGAGTTCAAAGCCAGCTTCAGCAACTTAGTGAGGCTCTAAGCAACTCAGTGAAACCCTGTCTCAAAATATTAAAAAAGAGCTGGGGAAGTGGCTCAGGGGTTGAAGCACCCCTGGGTTCAATCCCAGTATAAGGGAAAAAAATCAATTGATTTGCAACAAAGGTGCTAAGACAATTTAATTGGGGAAAAGAACAGTCTTTTTAATGGATAGTATTGGAACAACTGCATAGACACAGAGAATAAATAAAGCTGAACTCCAACTTCAGACCATATGCAAAAATTAACTCAAAATAGATCAAAGACCTAAACGTGAAAGCTAAAACCATAAAACTGTTTGAAGAAAACAGGTATAAATCTTTGTGACCTTGGATTAGCCAATGCTTTCTTAGCTATGACACCAAAAGCAACAAAAGAAAAAATTGGAATTTTATCGTGAAGAGGGCAATAAATACTCTGCTGACTTAAAAGGTTAATGTTGTACAGCTTCACATTCACCAAAATTAAACTTTTGTACTTCAAAGGTCACCATAAAGTGAAAATACAAACCACAAAATGGGAGAAAAATTCTGTAAACTGTATATCTGATTTTTTTTGTGTATCTAGTATATGCAAAGAACTCTTACCATTTAATAAATAAAATGACCCGATTAAAAATGGGCAAATGTTGAGCATGGTGGTACATGTCTATAATCTCAGCAGTTGGGGAAGCTGAGGTAGGAGGATGGTGAGTTCAAAGCCAGCCTTAGCAAAAGCAAGGTGCTAATAAGCAACTCAGTGAGACCTTGTCTCTAAATAAAATACAAAATAGGGCTGGGGATATGGCTCAGTGGTTGAGTACCCCTAAGTTCAATCGCTAGTACCCCTCTCCAGTCCAAAATGGGCACAGGATCTGAAGGGACATTCTCCAAAGATACACAAATAGCCAATATGCACATTAAAAGATGCTCAACAAACATTACTAGCTATCAGAGACATGCAAAGCAAAATCACAAGGAAACAACAGTTTAGCCCTAGGAGGACTGTCATCAAAGTCAGATTAACAAGTGTTAATGAGGATGTTGAGAAACTGGAACTCTCACACACTGCTGGTGGACTGTAAAAAACAGTGCAACCACTTTGGAAAACAGTTTAAACAGGTCCTAGAAAAAATAAAAAGGTTTAATGGTTACCACATGACCCAACAATTCAACTTATAGGTATATATTCAGGAAGAAATGAATGTTCACACAAGAAGGACACTGGTGGTTAAGGTGGGCACTCATGTCTATATTTGAAATGCTTATTAATAAGGCAAAAGTGGTTAAAACAAATAAATGGAAATTTTAAAAGCTATATCAGGACAAACAGCTACATAATGAATATTGATAACTAGTATGTACATTTAAAGAGGTGACATTAAAATTCCAAACTCTGAAACAAGCCTGTACTGAAATGCTTCTCACACAAATAGGACATAATTCCCTTCAGGTCCTATTTTAACCCATTATTTCTACAACATTACAAAAATTGAAAGAATTTTTGAAACAATCCATTTTTTTATTCAAATAGAATCACATTTAACAATCAAGGTCATATAATTTAAAAACTTCTGAACTGTTTTGGACTCAGATGGATAGTTGATTGTCGGTAGTCATTAACAGTGCTCTTGATCTAGGATCAGAGGAGAAGAAGGGACACGGCAATTTATTTTCACTGGTTGTCTACATTAAATTTTATTAAATAATGTCTCTTTACAAAACTATTCTGTAAATGAAACAAACTAGATTTTTAAAGGCAGCAAGTATATATGCTATACAATGCACCAAACTGAAAACTCACTCTTTTTATATCACAAAATGAAGTTGAGCTCACTAGATAAGCCCCCACATCCTTCCTTGTCTACCTCACTCTGTAAACAGAAATCCTTCCAGGGGAACCCATTTCTTTTTGTCTTTCTGTAGTTCAAAAACTGATAATACAGTTTCATAAGGTTACCCAGAATTTATGGACTGTTGCCTAGGATCCTAAGCCTTTCCTTAAAGAAAGAACACCAGTTCTTTTTCATGCCATTTATTTAGAACAGTTTTTCTATACCCATTTCCCCCCTAGTGAATGTACTAGCCTTATTTAAACAAAGATGAGTGAGTCAAGGAAGAAAAGAGATTTTTAGGGGTAAGCCTAAGGTTTGAGAACCACCACACACCTACCCCAACCCACCTTTCCACTCATCCCCTTCACCTTTACACACTTCAAACTCTAGGTGAAACAGAAGCTTTCCTTCTATCATGTTGTTCTTCCCATCATTTCCTTTCTTTGGAAATACTACCTCCCAGCCCCATTAAGTCTTTGTTTGTTCACATCTAAACTTTCATTTGAGACCCAGCAGAGAAGCTCAACTCCAATAGTCTTTCCTAACCCTCCTTATTTCCTGGAAGTGCAGCGTGGCAGTGACATATTATCATGGCATTGAGAACAAATACAGAGGACACAAAACTACCTGAATTCTGTCTCTCCTTGTAAATCTTCAGAGCTGTCTGGGTAAGGCCAGTCAAGTTTTAAAAGATTATAGTAATTGTACATTTAAAAAAAAATATCTTCTAGTTTACATAAACAATTTTAGAGTAAACATTCAATAAGGCATTTTCCCCATTGCTCCCAAGATTTCATCTCTTTCTGCTGCTGTGGGCATAAATGGTGTCACTCCATTTTGTCTTCTTTGGATCATGATGGAATTCTGTGTATAGGCAAAAAAGAAGAAACCAAAATCAATCATGTATGAAATGCTAATCATTTGCCAGTAATTTGCTACTGCTTTCTCAAAAACTCTGAAAATCAAGTTAAATAAATCCAAACTGTAGTTCTGGGACTCCTGATGTTTCAAACAAAAAAAATAAATAAATAAAATTGCTTATTCTCATAGAAATATGCTAATAGTAACTGAAATAGGGACACACTGTGTGAGTACAAGAGCATAAGACTGTATACAGTTCACCAAGAAGACTACTGTATAACTGCTAGACAAAACCAACAGTCCATTTAAAAGGAGGTAGCTGGATCCAGTGCTCAGGGAAACAAATTATATATTAATGCATTGGGAAAATGGAACCTTAACTACCAAGAATGGTAGTGGCAAAGGAGGCAGAAATGGAAGCCTAATATGACATGAGAGCAAAGTAAGTTATATGTTCTGCTCATCTTCAGAAAAACTAAATTTACAACAAGGTTATTATTTTAGGGCTGCAGATTTATATACCTAGGAAGACTCACATATTAAAACTGCATTCAGATACCTCGGAATAGGATGAAATAATTAATAAGAGTTCTCTAGGATCCTTCAGGACTGAAATACATACAGAGGATAGAAGAAAAGTTGTTTCCCTATGGCCATCACTGGGAAAAGACTATGGGCCTCAGTTTCATGCTGAAACGATGGGTTTTAAAACAAAGCTCACCAAGCTAGGCTTACCCAAAATCTCCGGCAGTTTTTGTACTTCAAGAAGTAACTGGAACATCTTTCCTTATCATAGTTATTTTCATCCATACATCTGCTAGAAGCATCAGATTCCTTAAATATGTAGGAAACACATTATTTAAAAGGTAGAATGAGATATTAAAAAGGCCTGAAAACAAAAACTTTAAAGCTATTTTGTCCCAAGACAGATAAAGTAAAATGGATCATTTTATTCAATGGGTACACTAAAACAGAATAATCTTGCCAACTATCCAAGAATTTATTCTGCTGGAGTAGATATCTTCCTTTTCATAGTCTAGGCCAGTTTTCTGAATATCTGATCACAGGAGTCTGAGCCAAAGTACTAACTGGGATCATGTGATCCAGAAACTGTAGCAAGGAACAATATCCACCAAACCACTGCTGCACAGTTAGAATGAGAAACAAGTCTCTTGACTCAGTACAGCTCTCCTGGATTTTCCAAATTCTTACTCTGATTTGACATTTGACTTTAATGCTGATTTTGAGATTTCAAATAAATTGCTAATAAGTGGTCTACATCAAGGCAACCTAAATTAACACCATTCATCTCAGCACATTTTTGGCTATTATTTACTCTATTACGCAAGTAAGTATTCTATTATGTAAGAAATTTTAATAGTTATTATTAATATCACTTCAAAACCAAAGTGAACACAGGGATATGAATTTAAAAGAGGGTAGGTGCCATTTGGGAATTAAATTTAAGCTGTCTGAACTGGAAGGAAGTTGGATGACAAACTTCAAAGTGAAAGAGATGATTATGAGAAGTTACCTAAAAGTACGATTTAACTAAACAGGTATGCTATTCGCTTCACAGATCTAAGAAATGTGTTCTATTTAAATAGATTTACTTAATAAAACTGTTGAAATCTAATATACAGAACAAAGCTGTATTTCTATGCCAAATATTTAATGCATATTTTTGAAAAACGCATATAAGGTCAGGCAATGTAATTCCTCATAGCATCAATATAATCACAGCATTGTACAAGGGTGGCAAAATTACAAGAGAGTATAAATCATACCAAATTAATGCAAATACAAGCTTATTATTACAATAAAACATCCTCTCTATAAGACAACTTTGTGAAAACCTTTAGGCTTAAAGTAGGTTTTCTATTATCAGCCAATTACTCTCAGCCAGGTTGTCTCAAGGACATGATAAAACCAGTGCTATTAAAACCACAAATTTCAGTGGCAACTTAAAAATGTGATGCCTTCCAGTTTTCCATGTTTGGACTAAAGATTTTTTTAGTCTTACAAATGCCTCTCTAGTTTTATAGTGCCAACTAAAGGCTTGCATATTTTACAAAAAAGCAAAATTAAAGAAGAATCTTTATTAGCTAAATCATGAACATCTAAAAACACTCTAGTGAAATAAAATACACTGGTCAGGAGTACGTTTTGTACAAAAATATGTTTATTCAACAACTGCAGAAAAGACAAGCTCACAATTAAAAGAAGCCTGTTTTTTTTTTTTTTTCTTCAACTTAACACTCAGGAAAATGAAAAGCAAACCACCCTACCAACAAACAAGGATTTATGTCAGGATCTCTCAATCGGTGCGTCACCACGGGCATCCTAGGTCTTCTTACTGAAGGTTGATAGACAAAAAATTGTTAGGCAGTGGATGACAGAAAATAAGTCAATAAGTCTTACTGACCCCACAAATACTGAAAATTTAATTCTGGCATAATGATCATTTAGAATTTCATGGATCCTCTGCATTTGGGATATGTTTCTCCTTTGTACTGCCATGTGCCTTAATATAAAAGCCATACTGAAATACATATACTGAAATTTGATTCTAATGCCCAGTGAGAAAGATAGTTCAACTATATTCAATTGTGGTTTACTCTTATTCCTTAAGTGTATGCAACTAAATCTACTAATAAAATCTAATAATATTTCCTTATTATACACTAATTAGCATATAAATTAAGGAAAGGATAATCCAGTACAGCCCACCTTAGCAAAAACTTTAGTCAACTAATGAACCAGAATGACTACTCTGTGACCAACACTAGGACAGCAATATAGCAGAAAGCCAAGTTATGGTTTAGTTGACATTTTGGAAAGCCATAGAGTTTTTAAAAAACATTTCTTTCAGTTAACTCCATTTGGGAGGGTTCAACTGAAATTGGTATGGCAACTACCTTCAAAGAAATGTCATAGAAAAAAAATTTAAAAAACAGTTAAGTAAATTATTTCAAAGTGATTTTTTGTTTCCAATGTATTGGTATACTATTGACAAACTACCCTCAATATTTTAGGATGCTGTGAACTAAGCCTAAGGAGCTGATTTGCCTTGTACTCCCAAATCTAGTTCTAGCTTAATCATCCTTCTTCCTAAGGGTCAAAGGGCAAGCCAGCAAATAACGTCTTGTGACCCAGGAAACTCCACTGAGTAAAAAAATGAATTTGTCAGTAAAACCACAGAGGTCAGAATATTTATATGAAATGGTCTCAGGCCAGGGTTGAAGCTCAGTGGTAGAGCACTTGCAGAGCATGCATGAGGCATTGGGTTCGATCCCGCATCACATAAAAATAAACAAAGTAAAGGTATTGTGTCCATCTACAACTAAAAAAATAAATAAATTAAATTAAAAAAAAAAAAAAAAGAAATGGTCTCAACTTTCTGTGCCATAGAGGGGATCACAAAAAAATATCAGTAGTGATAAAATAAATATATTCAGAAAAAAAACAATCATATCAGACAAGCTCCTAAAATGTGCAGGTATTCTCCACAAAGTGTTACCCAGTACACCTGGGAGCAAATGTACCACCAGTAGAGAAGGCCTACCCATCCCTGCCTCAGCCTGGACCCTGGGGCTCAGATAAAGACCCTGAATCCCCAAGTCAAAGTTATTGAATGTTTTTGTTTTGTCCTACTGTAGTTCTTTATTTTCTCCCCTTTTCTGATGGCTGATTTACAAAATAAAGTAAGCTTCTCAGAAGGCTCTGAACATGGAAAGGAGAAGCAAAACCAATAGTTAGGGAGGTTGGGGGAGGAGGGGGGTCTTTGGCCAAAAACCTAGGTAGCATGGTCTAGATAGTTTGGCATCTCCTGAATGAGAGCCTCAAGGTACCTCTTGTGTGGGAGGGTCCCTGGACTCTACCCAGCCCCGACCTTCTCCTTCAGCCATGTTAAAAACAGAGGCAGAGAACATAAGAATTTGTAGCCTATGTCTCACTGGAAAAGAAAACTTGTCATCTGTCTTGATGGAGAAGGTTCCACCTCACACTCCTATTACAATATCTATACACTGTGGCAGGATATCACATTTAGAAGGACAAAAAAAAAAAAAAAAAAAAAAGTAAAATATTTGAATGGGTTTGTATAACGTTAGTATTATTGAGAGTATCTTCTTTCCCAGCTGAAGCTATTCATTTATTATTCTAGTCCTGCTGTAGTCCTTTGTAACTTAGGATAATTATGCTTTTCAATACCAAAAAAAAAAAAAAAATGTATAAAAATATAAACTTGAAAAGGGAAAAATCAGATGTCCAGGTTGAAAGAGACCCAGTCATTGCAAAGAAGGGCAGGAAAGGGTCTGATTATTCTGATGTCCTTTACTTTTTAGTAATCACTAAATAATTTTATTTTGTGATTTTCATTGACTAGTACATGAAAATAGCCAGTGAACTAAAACATCCTGGCAAAAAGGAAATTCAAGATGCCATTCAATGATATCTGAAGCCTTTTGCTCTATGGAACACAATTCTTTTGCAGGCTTGACTTCTAAGAAAAATAATGGTGCTAAATAAATTCACAACTTTCCTTTTCGCATCTATCCTGTTATGTGAGAACACAGAACTCTAAGCTGTTCATAAATAACCCTTGTATATAATAATCTCAAAAATGATCAGACACAGAATTAAAGTTGATTACTTTACATGAAAATATCTACTCTGTATTTCATCATCAGAAATTCTTTAAAAATAACAACTAGGTAATATCCACACCCGGATCACGTTTGCTGCATGAGTTTATTCGCATTTTTATTTGCGTTTCATTTTCTTTTCCTTCCGAATTATAAGCACAAGTCACTTTAAATTTCGAAATATCACCTCCTTTGCCTGATCTCCTATGTGTTAAACTGGAACTGAAGAGGAATGTCAATTTACAGCCAGAAGTAAAGCTGAAGGGCCAGATCGAGTGCTCAGCTAAAGAGGCCTTCCTTATCTACTTACTTTTTGAAGGCACAGCACTAAACAAATGTTTCAAGGCTCTAATACTAGCATGATAGCCAGAAAAAAACCCAAAGATCTGAAGGAGGGGTCGCATCTGAGGCAGAACTCTAAAATCCACTCCAAGGAGCAAACTATTTAACAAAGTAGTTCTTGATTTCTTATACAGTACTTCACACCCTCCTCTTCAAGTAGCTTTTAAAGGGAAAGAGGAAGGGAAGGTTACTGAACACGTGCATGCCCACTGGCTGGTCAGAGTCTAGGCAGGATCTGCGACTGCTAAATCGAGAAGCAGAAACACCATAACCTTAACTACTGCTGGGTACAGAGGGCCAGGGGCAGTAAGTCAAAGGTGCATACCGGAATGGGGCAGGCAAGCCGAAGAAAAAACTGAAAGGATGTGAATCCGAGGCCGCGCTGCCTTCCAAGGTGCTGCCTGTCAGCGTCTAATCATGGAAACGGATATAGGTGAGCACACCTTTCTTGGTGCTGCGACGAAGAGGGGGTCCGGGACTGCGAAAACGCTGAGAAGTGGGAAGTGGGGGGGGGGGGCGTTCTAGTTTCTAAAGCTGGAGAGGAGGATGAAGAAGACCTGGAGGTGCCGTGACAAGGTATGGGGTCACTTTGTTCGCCCCCGGTTATACAGACCCGGGTAGCGAGAAGACCAACAGGAAGCGGCCCGCGCTGCGTCAGGGTCTGGAGGGAGCAGCTGTGCGCTGCAAAAGTGGATTCGGACCCCGTGGCAGCCCAGATGCGCCCCTTTCTTTCCGCTTCCCAGTAGCGGCAGCAGAGGGAGGGGCGGGGGACCACTCACCTCGGGCTGCCGCTTCGCCAGCGCCCAGGCCGTCTCCAGCTCCAAACACGTCAATGGCTCACGCAGCAGGACCTTAAGTAGCGCGCACCCCAACGTGCTGCCCCCGCTCCCCGGCGGTCGCCAGCCCAATCGGCGGGCGGCCCCGTCAGACTGACAGGCTTGCTAAGCTTTGCGCGGCGGGGGCGGGCGGGCCTCGCCCCGCCCTCGGCTGGCGGGAGGAGGGCCGAGGAGGGAGGAGTGGGCGGGGCGGGGTGCGCAGTCCCGCCTCCTCCCCCGCCCCGCCGCGCCCCCCGCGCCGAGGCGAGCTTCTTAACACTTCGGCTTGACGGACGGGTGCCACGGACCAATCGTCAGGCCAGCAGCCGGCGGCGGCGGCGCCTAGTGGTCGGCCTCAGGGCGGAGCGCGCGAGGTGGGCGGGCTCAGCGGCGGGTGGGGGCCGGGGGCGGGGCGGCGGGAGGCGGGGGCGGTGGCCGAGCAGGCCGGGGGAGGCGGCGGTGGGCGCGACGTCGGCGGCGGCGGCGGCGGCGGCAGCGGCAGCTGCAAGTTGGGCTGCAGGGGCAGCGCATACACTACAATGGCTGCTGGAAAGAGGCGTAAGGAAACAATTTCCAGGCCCGCCGCGTCCAGCCCGAAATATGAGAAAAAAATTATTAGAAATTCCGCGGGCGGTGTAAAGGCGGCGGACGGGCCGGAGGGAGGATGTTAAAGCCCCGCGGTGAGTTCTCCCGGGGTCCGGGGCGGCGGAGAGGCGTTTAGCGGGAGAAATATCAGGGTTATTTAAATTATGGGACTAGCTGAGGGGGCAGAGGAGCAGCGGCGGCGGCAGGAGGAGGAAAAGTTTGTGCTACTCTCAGCCCCTGCTCAGGACCCCAGAGGGAAAAATAATAATAAAAAATAAAATAAAATAATTAAGCGGGGCTGCGAGGACTTCCGAAGCCGCATCTGACAGGGCAGGGGGCGATGCGACTGGGGACCCGAAGGTGAGGTCGGTGGGAAAAAAAAAACCTTTATTCAGGGTCTGGAAAGTTTGAAAAGTTTTCCTCCTCCTCCTCCTCCTCCTCTCTGGTGCTGTGAATATTGTGACAGCGGCAGCGGCAGCAGCGAGAGCGGAAGACATTAGAGACCCGAAAAATAAGGGAAAAATTAATATAAATTCAGTTTTGAGAGTAAAGTCCCCGCATTTTCCACCAAAACATCCCGGGGGAAGGTCGCTTCCCAAAGGGCCTGGCGGAAACCCGCAGTCGGCAATATTTGGGGGGCACTTTGAGTGACTTGGGGTAACTTTGCCCCTTTTTCAAAAGAGGTTTTTCTTTTCTGGAGAAATGAATTTGTTTTTGCCCTTTCCTCAGGTGGGCGAGTCGGGGTCGGGGTGCGGGGTCTGCGGGGAGGTGTGAGCCCGGGGTGTGTGGCTGCGAAGAGGGGGGGGAGGGGGAGGGGGTGTTAAATGAAAGCAGGAGATCGGCACAGAGCAGGGACAGCTTGTTGTCAGTATCATAAACAACCAAAATGGAGGGAGAACTCAGGCATATAACCAAATAAAAATTTTTAAAAAATCGCAAAAAATCCCTAAAAATCCGGGATGCTCCCCCTTTTCTCGCTAAAGGTAAAAGTATGAACCGCCTTTCTCCTGAAGTCCATTTTGACTTTGCAGGGACCAAGGAGTTAATATTTATTTATTTTTTAAAACTTTCGAAGGGCAAAAGCCTTTTATAACTCAACCGACAATGAGAAAACGTGAAAATCCGATGCAAGAGAAGCAGGGGGAAGGAGGGGGAGGTAGTAGTGCAGAAACTGCTAAACTTATTGGTAATGTGGACTGATCTGAGATAAGATAAACACTATATTTGGTATTTTATAACTCCTTTTTAATGATCTTTGTGAGGTTTGGTTTTTTTTTTTTTTTTGGTGGAAAAAAAGTGATGCCATTTTCTTAATAGAGTTAATATGTGTGATTGGAAGAATAAACCTTTCCGGCTTTAGATTGCATTTTCGTCGCATTTATGCTTCAGGTTTTGTTAGTGGCTCCCTCCTTTATTTAAACTGGGCTTTCCAGAGGAGGGGTAGAGAGGTGATGTTGCACAGAGAGGCTGGAGTGCAGGACTGGAGTACCTTTTGGGGAGGGGTAAGGAATTGCTTAGTTTCTCCCTTCCTGACACGTTTGCTTCACCTGTTCATCCTCACTAAGGAATGTTAAGTAGAAGTTTTCTGACTTTATCTATATAAAAGGATGGTGCCTCTTGCATCACATTGATGTTAATGGCAAAGTGCTGCTGATGTTGGTTCCACGTGGGATGTGGGACAGAGCTGGGCATTTTAAAGGGACAGCTTCTCTTTTCTTATGGTTTTCATCACCTACCCAGACTCTCTGAGGACCAAAAGCAGAGGTGCTGGAAGGGTGTGGTGATGGAAGAGCCTTCTCTTTCCATTACTCAAATGCACCCACCTTTAGGAGGGATGGAGGGAGAGGAGGGATAAACAAGCTCAACAGTAGATGAATATGCATATAGCTTAGTTTGCATCCAAGCTGTTCTTTTGTGTAACAAGCCCTCCCAGGAACTTTTCAAGTTACATTGCTTTGCTTTGGAAGCTGATTTTGGAAGGAATTGTGGAAAAATGGAAATAGTTTAAGGTGTGTGGCATAATGGTATAGCATTATTGAACAGTTATGAATTCTGTGCAGTGAGATCAAAGAGCTATGTATGCCCATAATGTGATTTACAGCCATTTTGTAAAAGCTGTAAAATACCTAATATTCAATTTGGCTTCAGGTACATGGAGGACTTCTGGTTAAAATTTACAGACAGAGTGGTGAAGATTCTTTAACATCATAAGCAGTAGGCATTTCTTTGGGGAAGGAAAACATATACACCAAGATCATGGAAAAGTTTACTTACATAGTCAGTTTTAAAGCCCATCCTATATGTATGCTCTAACTTTGAAGCTTTGAAATGAAAATATTTTAAAATTCTGAGAACCATCAGTTTGCATCTTTTATATTGAATATATTTGTGGTACTTAACAGGAAATGTTTATCAATCATAAAATACTATCAGCCCGTATGTTTCAGATGTCCACAGTGTTTTCAAAATTTAAAATGTGCGAGTTGTTAGCTGTACTCTATTTGGGATTAAGATTAATCTTGAACAGAAGTTACTGATGTTCGTTTTCCACAGGTATATGGAGTTTCTGAGATAAATTCCTATTTTCCTTTGTTTTTATGATTTATAGAAATGGACTAAAGTTAAAGCTGAATTTTTAGACTTTTTACACAGAATGTTTTTCCTTGCCATACTATATAAACAAATTATTGTTTCATAGTCTATTGTATGTTAACTTGTGTTCCTAGCTGAGCTCTGGGCATCTTTCTGTAAATACCTCCATAGCAATATTACATTGGTGTGGTAGTGTTTGAGTCCATCATCTTGAGACTTCTCATTTTGGAAATGATTAAAACTTTCTAAGAACTTGTCTTAAAAATTAATGCCATGAACCACTGCTAATAAAAATTGATTGGAAAGGGATTGATGTACTAATGGAAAAACCCCCTCCCAACAATCTTTTGTGTAGAGGTTTTAGAATACCACCAATAATTATAAAACCTTTGAGGTTTATCTTGCATTTTCATTGTTTTGGCTCAAGACAGTTACATTTACTGTAAGTGGTCAGAATTTTTCTTCCTATTAAAAATAAATGATACTTTTAGATTTGAATAGTTGCCACTTTGACAAGCCAGATACTAATATCAGTAAATTCAATCTCTATAAAAGTGAAGGGAAAGCATTTCTTCCAGTTATATTAAATCATTGAGCTGTTTAGATTGTTCAGACCCTTCAAGTTATGGTTAGGTTATTGTCAATCTAAATAAAAGTGCTGGTGTTGTGGGACTTTTTTTTTTTTTTTTTTTTACTTTTTTTTCCCCCTTACTATGACATTCTTGTTTGGGTTTTACACAACTAGTTACTTGCCTGTATTAGAAAATGCACTCAGAGTGCACAAATATGAAATCTATAATTCCTTAGAGAGTTATTTAGATAGGTCACAGCATAATACCTAATTTGAATTGGTTGTGTTAAGGTTTTTTGATGCCTTTAGAAATATTACCTGTTGAACATCCTTTGTCTGAAGCTACTATAAAATTATACCAGTTTAAAGAAATAATCTAAGGATATTATATACCCCAAATGCTCTTTTATTTGGAGAAACCTCACAGATTAATACTTTTATTTGAAATTTATATGCCTAATTTTGTTATTCTAAATTCTAAAGAATTTAGCTGCTCTGGAAGATGATTTTATAAGTATGGACTAATACTGGCAAAATATTATACATTTATTATAACCAAAGTATTTTAATAAATAGGCATTTTAAAGCTAAATAGTGAATTTTCTTTTATCAATATAGTTTTAAAATTTTAAGGATATTCTTTGTGTTTTAATATCAATCAAATATGAGGAATTTCCCTTCATTTCTAAGATAATCCTTGTTGTCACTGAATATATTTTGGTTTGGTATTCTGGAAATGTACCTTTCTTAGGATTAAGTTATTGTTTTCTAAATTAAATGTAATGTTCTTACATTAACTGAGATTTGAAAAGCCAGACAACTAAAACATATCTATAGCAATCTTTGAAGTTTTGTTTTAGTAATCATTTGCTTCTTGAACTATATAATGAAAAATAGTCATACTTCTAGGATTGTTTTTAATATTTTTTGTTTAGAATCTTATTCTTTGAAAAATCAAGATATGTGAAAAACTACCTGTTACACACGCACACAAACACACATACATACACACAAATATCAAGATAAGTTTTACCTGAATAATTTTACTTACAGTGCTTGGAATACATGTTCTTTTTTATATGTTTGCAAATGTATAAGAAATAAGTGTAATTTTTTAAATTTTGATAACATCTTAGATTCTTTAGTTGGGTGAAGGAAGAGTTTCAGAAAAGGGAGAAAACTGAATCTGTACAACAAAATCTAAGATAGTGAATATGTTCAAAGTGAAATGGCTATAAATTGTCCCTTGAACCAGATCTTAAATGTTTTAAGAAACTAATAAACACCTTTTCTGGAACATTGAATACTTTGAAAAAAAAAATCAGCCATTGCTAAAAAACAA